TATATATATATATATATATATATATTAACATACCTTCTAGATAATAATGTATGTTATTGGAGTTGGAAATAATTCTCTTAATATTGTCAACCCAGAAAGCATTGTTGTATGAAAAACCCATCTTACAAACATGATCATTTTATATGTTTGATGATGACGATACATTAAAAGGAAATTTTCCCCAGAGATGTAATTAATCCATTTTTTCATTGAGGACAAACAGTATAATGTGGCCAGTAACTGATTGTATACATTTTTTAATTTTAAGAGACCACCTTCTAAAAATAGGCTCTTTGAGTCTTAAAACGGCTCCCATCTCAATAACTGTGCAAACCTGATCAGCTTTTGTTTCTTTTTTCAATGTCGTCCTTAATATATGGTAAGTGTTAAGGAAAATTATTAGCAGTACCTCTTTAATTGGCTTTTGGTTGGACAGTTGAACACCCTTACTACAATTGGGAAATAAATGACTGCTAAAATCACTCCTTTCAGTGGTTCACTATGACTTTCATATATACCAAAAACTCTTCTCTTTATGCCATGCTGACCTACAAATTGTTCATGTTTGGTGCATACTTTAGACAAAGGTCATGAAGATAAGTACAATGAATAGAATGAGATAGAGGGAAGTTCAGTGTTAAACATTCCTTTCTTACAAATTTTTATCTACTACTTTGCATAATTTTAATCATCTTTTAATTTTTTTCCTTGAACTCACTAACATGTCTTTAAAAAAAATTAATTTTCTAGGCTTCCATACAGCTTTGTGGTTATATTTCCATTCTGCTTATTTTTTGCACTTCATACAATTTACTAAACAGTTCTTTTTTTCTCATTATCCACACCAACCTTTCTAGACTGTTCATGATGATTTTCTGTTGGGTTATTAAGTGGAAAGTTTTGTGAATTACACAGAAATGAAAGGACAAAACTACTAACAAGAACAGCAAATAAAATTATTCCCTATGTCTCTTATTCTCTAAAATCAGGCCATGATATCCTGGTGTCAATGGTTAAGCACTCAGCTGCTAACTGAAAGGTCCCAGTTTGAATCCACCAGCGGTTCCTTGTGAGAGA